GGGGGAGGTCTCACTTCTGGCTCAGGCTGGTCTCGAACCTGTAAGCTCAGGCAATTCATCCACCTCGGCCTCCCAAGTGCTGGGATTATAGGCATGAGCCACTGCACCTGGCTATATACTGTTTTAGACCTAAGACTTCCCTTCCAAATAACACATTTGGATTTGACTCCAATCTGAACTAAATAATATCTATAATGACTATGGCCTTCAGGAATAAAAAATTTCAGTTTAGTTTTTTAAATAATGTGCAAGTAATACATATATACTCACCTGAAGAATCTGTTTTCCATTAACAATTGTGCCATTTTGACTGCCCTGATCCACAAGGACATAACTTTGCAAGTCATGGTCAAAATAAACTTCTGCATGAAACTTAAAAAACAAAAATCAAGCAATTATAAAGTACTACACTTTTTTTAAACTATGGGTAACAATTTCTCTGTGATATAATGTAGACTTTAATCTCTCATAATATAATCTTGAATAATTTTTTTCTCCTTTTTATTTTCATTTTGTGTCTGTGCCCAGACTAGAACTAAGCAAAGTGAATGCTTAGTACACTCTCAAGGAAGCACAGTTCTGCCTCGTACCAGTCACAGACACCACCTTAACAGTGATGGATACAACTGGATAAAGACGACAAGACATTCCTCTTCTGGGAGTGTAACACCATCACAGGAATGGTTCTGTCCCAACAGCTGACTACTACTGGGAAACTTTTAATACTTTTCTTCTGAACACAAATTATATGCTTCTGGTAAATAATGTAAAGCTTACAGAAGAAAAAAATGTAATTCTATCATTAACTACCATTAATAATTTAGCATCTGCCCTACCTCTTTTATTTTTTTAATATAGTTTACATTATACTAAGCTATAATCACCTACTTTGTCCATAACAGTTAAAAATCATTAATACAAAACAGGAGACTGGGTGTGGTGACTCACGCTATAATCCTATAGCACTCTGGGAGGCCAAGGCAGATCGACCACTTGAGCTCAGGAGTTTGAGACCAGCCGGAGCGAGAGTGAGACCCTATCTCTAGTAAAAGTAGAAAAACTAGGACTGTAGGTATCATGGCAGGCACCTACAGTCCCAGCAGCTGAGGCAGGAGGATTGCTTAAGCTCAAGAGTTTGAGGTTGCTATGAGCTATGATGATGCCACAGCATTCTACCCACAAGCGATGTAATTTGAAACACTCAAGGCCAAATTCTCAGAGAAATCTTCCAGATCTTCAATATTCAGGACTCATCACTCCCTCCCTATCTCATACCTTTTTGTTTATATATTCTTCTTACTTTGCTTCCTTGGCTTACCATTAAGGTAGGAGGTTCACCCAGTTGTGGTACACAGATGTAGTTCATTCATTTTACTGAACAGTAATCCCTGTATAGGGATACCACAATCTATCTATCTTTCCAATAATGGACATCTGAGTTTTTCCCAAGGTTTTTTATTGCTAAGAACCTTCTTGCACATGCAATCTTTTTATATACAAAATGGAAGTTGTTTCTCTGGGGTACACACTTAGGAATAGAATCACTAAATCATAGTAAATGCAAATCTTAAATTTTATCAGATACCGACATATAGTTTTCCAAAGTGGGTGTACCAATTTATATTCCCACCATTAGCATATGAGATTCTTGTTGCTCTAGACATCCTTAACCAAAACCTGATATTGTTAATATTTCATTTTTGCTAAGAGGTATGAAATAAAGTCTTGTGGATGGGATTTCCATTTCCCTAATTACTACTGAAAAGTTTTTCTTATAATGTATTTATTAGGTATTTAAGTTTCCATCTTTTGTAAATTTTCTATTTATGTAGAGAAAAAAATGTATATTTTTTCCCAATTGAATTTAGAAGAGGGTTAAATAAAGTTACAAGTCTTTAGATATTGCCAAACTCTATTCCAAAAAGCTGCTCTAAATGATGCTCCCAACAGAATATTTAATAAATATGATGAATAAAAATTGACACCTTAGTTTCATTTGCTTTTCTTACACTACTAGTAAGACTGGTTTGTCATATCAGCCATGATACTTCCTTCATTATGAATAGTCTACGTATGTCCTTTGCTCACTGACCTACTCATGTCACAGTGAAGTTTGAAAAAGTAAATTTGAAAGAGCTCTTAAAATACAGAGGGTATTTTGTCCTATTTGTTGTGACTGCCTTAGTCTGCTTTTTAAATTTGTTTAACATTTATGTTTATAGAACTTGAAACTTAGTCAAAATTATTTTGCCTGTCATTTTTACCATTTTTTAAAACTCAGTCTTCTACCCAGTGTGTAAGTATTTGTTTCTGTTTTTCCCCCTATCATCAATAGAAGGTAATTTTTAAAACATTTGTTTCCTCTACTTGGCTATGTGTCATATATACTATCAAACTGATTTCACTAGCTATTCCACTACTGGATGTTAGTTAAAAAGAAGGAAAGAAAAAACAGAACTGCCTGGAGAACCACCTATATTTTAGACTGAGGTGGAGAAGGACTTCTTTGGTATTTAAGTTACAAGACCAGGTTTTCTTTGAAGGCGGGAGAATCAAGGATCATAGTAAAAGGGGAAAAAAGCCAGATAATTTGGTTAGAGTTAAGATCATGAGGATTTTCCCTCTCCCCAAATCAGTGAGCCCAGAATGAAAATAACTAGTCTTCAAATTCATAATGGGAAGCAAACTTCATTCCCAAAACCCCCCAAATCACTTAAAATCTGCTTTAGATTCACACTATAGTTCATTAAATAGAAACAAAACAGGAATGATTAAAGGGGGAAAAGAGGAGGAAAAACACAGCAAAGTAAAGAAAAGATAAACATGAAGTATAAAGGGGCTCGGTTTGTAAGCCTCGCCTACCTTTTTTTTTTTTTGAGACAGCCTCAAGCTGTCACCCTGGGTAGAGTGCTGTGGCATTACAGCTCACAGCAACCTCCAACTCCTGGGCTTAAGGGATTCTCTTGCCTCAGCCTCCCATGTAACTGGGACTACAGGCACCCGCCACAACACCCAGCTGTTTTTTGGTTACAGCTGTCATTGTTGTTTGGCAGGTCTGAACTGCCAGCTCTGGTGTATGTGGCTGGCAACTTACTTTTTTATTTAGTAACTTACCACTGTTTGTTTTGAAAACTCAACTGTTCTTTTTTCTGAAATCATTAGCGTCTCAATAGAGAAAAACTGTAAACAAGAGCCTTGGATGGTTGAAGTGGTTGAAAAATACTCCAGGCTCAAGGGAATCATCTCCTGAAGAAGCTTGAATCCAGGCATGATTCATTTTTGAATTGCCATAAAATGCAGTGTATTTATTTCTCTACATAAATATTTACTAAGTAGGTACTACTTTAATCCCAAAATTAATCTACATTTTCTACTCCTACTCCAGGCTGTTGCAAAAATAAGCATAATTTAGTTTATTCAAAATGTGACAAAGCATTCTTTTTTCTCAAGCACTGTAGTAAACAAATTTGCATTGCCTTCATTACCATTACTACACTGAATATTAACCTTCCTATGAAATGGAGAAAAACCAGACCAGACGATATTTTACAAATTATATCTAGGGCCTATATTTGAAAAACAAAGAGCTTACTTACCTTACTGACACCAACTTCAGGGATTCGGAGAGTATGTTCCATATCTTTTTCTCTGTAGAGTTAAGCAAAGTGCCTTTAATAATTTTTTAAGACTATCATATACTTACTTGATCTTAACCAAAAGGCCAAGAAGTGATGAAGCGTATTATTATATAAAGGGAGCACTTACAAAGTGACATGGAAAGAATTTTTAAAAACAATGTTAAAATGGAAGTCCACTGCTGTAAGTCTCCTAGTTATAGATCATCCGGTTTCCTTACTCCTACTCTAGATTTCCTGAAGTTTCACACAGTAACTAGTGGTCTTTTTTTCCTTCAAACTGTGCTTTTTCAGGGTAGAGATCTTGACTTAGCCCTCTGTGTATGCAGAACACACAGAATAATGCTTGATATGCAATACATATTCAATAAAGCCTTTTTGAAATAACTGAAAGAATGATACAATAATATTAACTATTTTTACCTTCCAATTGTAGCAGGGTTTACAGCTGTAATGATAAAAAGTGATCCTGTCTGCAACACCGGTGATCTAATAACAATTACTCTAATACATGGGGGCCAAATTTTTTCTTCATCTGCCAAAGAAGAAAGTGAGAGAACATTAATTTAAATGCTATGAAAAAACATATCATACAGATAGCTAAAAGCTACCCATAAAATTCTGGCTGAAAATCTTACTTACTGGCTGAAATTCTGACTAAAACAAACTTGTTAAATTCTGCTATATATTGGATATTAGCAATGAGAAAGGATTAACATTAAGTTAAAGTCACCAACATACAGGTATGCAGCGTATTTAATAACTTCCACAGTTATAATCAATTTTCTTCTTAAGTTCTTAGAATTCAAAAATATCACAAATTTTCAAATTATTTTAAGTTAGAAAATTGGGTCCACTTTTCTCAGGGAAATTCCACTGAGAATAAAAGAACAAAATAAGTTTATATACTATACAGTTATCCTTTTGTATTCAGCATTCATGGGGTATTGATTCTAGGGCCCACCCACAGAAACCTAAATCTACCGATCATCAAGTCCCTTATATAAAATAGTGCAAATAATGTAACCTATTCATATGCACCCTCATATTTACCCCAAATTTTTAGAAAGTGAGCCACAGAGGAAAACAAAAATGGTATGTTTTGCACATAAACTATGCACATTCTCCCATATACTTTAAATCATCTAGATCTTTATAATACCCAATACAACTTAAAGGCTATATAGTTATTGCATTAAGAAAATAAAAGTTCATACATGTTCAGTACAGACACAATTATCCATTTTTTTCCCTCAATATTTTCTATCTCAGGTTGGTTGAATCCATGGAAGTAAAACCCACAGACACAAAGGGACAACTGTAATATAAAATCTCGTGTTTTAAAAGTTTGTCTTTATATCTTCAAGTGAAAAAATAATAATTTACCATTATACTTATGGCAATTGAATTCTTTTTTTTTTTTTTTT